CACACACACACACACACACACACACGCGAGTCCTTCCCAGACAGAGACGTGTGGTAAATAATAGAGGAGCCGTGACAGAGGGCAGGCACACACACACACAAAAACAGAGATCGGCGCCAAGGTTAAAGATGGGTGTGCGCGTAACGGGAGAGCTCTTTATCAACGTGTCATTAATACACGCGAAAGGGTTCCGCCGAGGGGAAAAAAAAGAGGCCGCCGTCTGGCCCGCACGGATCCTCACATCCCAACAATCTAAAGACAGAAGACATCAGCATGTTTCAAAGACGGATCACTCAATGGAAATGACTGTATATTAAAAGAAGGAGTCACATGACCCACCTCACTTACTCACATTACATACTCACATCGTTCATATGCTCTTAGCCAAATGGTTAAAGATTAAGTGGAATAATCATTTTCACAGCTCACTCAACATACAGAAGAGCATTTGAGTCATTTTTTTAAGACGTCCGACCCGGTATTGGCATAAGGAAAGGCCACATTTTTGTTTTAAGACATCCGAGGTGATGCAAACAGATAGATTGGGAAGTGCAAGCGAGGGGGAGACGGAGTCAACATGAATAAAATAATACAGCGTTTTGCTATCAGTTTTGAAGACGACGTCGGCTAAAGCTATATACCTCTCATACGGAGTGGTTAATATTTGATTGACCTCCGGAATATTCCAAAAGACTTCATTCCGACACAGCGAGACCCTCACACAAAAACGCCTTCGTACGGTAGCGGATATTTTATGAGTGATATTTTATGGTTTTCCAATTAATCCATGGAACGAGTCTAATGGGAAAAAGTAAAGAGATGAACTAGTCTTCAAACACGAACAGTGGGAGGAGTTTCGCACTCGTCAGAGACCACAGACAATCTGGAGATAAATAAGCTTCTGTTTGGCCAGGTTTGTGGACAAAAAGGAACGGAGAAGTGCTCTGAGTACATAAAACCTGTGATATTACCAGGAAGAGAATCACAAAACTGGCCTAAAGAGCACAGAGGCTTGGGCCTGAAAGCCAGGAACTGCAAAGACATTTAAGATGTCAGATAAACTTGATTTGCAGAAAAGAAAAACGGCCGTCGGACTGATGGCAGTTAAGAGATTTAATTGCCTGTTTGAACCAATTTGAACACACATGTATTTCTGAACCTCCTTTAATGAATATTCTAAAAAAAAATACCTAGAAGGTGTCACCATCCTTCTCCATTAAGAATCATAGATTTGTAGATGGCTGTTGGACACGATTATGTCTGGAGTGATAAAATCATCTGATGCAAAAGTGGAAGTCAACAACAGCATGAAGGTGTCGCAGCTGGAAAAGAGAATGAGAGTAAGGTGTGTGTGTTTGTGGGATCAAATTGTGCTACCTCGTGTGTGTGTGTGTCTGTCTGTGTGTGTGTGTCTGAAGGTGTTAAATGCAGTGATCGATAAGGTGGATGTCACCAATCTCCCCAGTTGTGGTCGGAGACGGATAGAACCCCCTGGAGGAAATTCTTGTTTCTCTTTTCATCTCTTTGACCCGTGGAGGGGTCCAGTCTTTGCATTTCGGCTCCCTGTTTATCTAAAGACTAAATAATGAAAACGTCTGACAGACAGACTCAAAGTGGGGCATTTAAATGAATACTTAACTAAAAATGATAACTTTATAGGCCACAAAAATCTACTAATTTAAGAGCAGAGCAGTGATGTTTTGTTTCTTTTGGTGTTTATAGGATCCATTTACTGGTGATGGAGTAGATAATGAGGAAAAAATGTCAGCCATGTCAGCTCATTTTAAGGATAAAGAGCTCTTTGATAATGCCTGGTACCTAATATCTTACCACTCTGTTTTTAAAGAGATTCATTTCATGAGATCAAACATCTGAACTTTACCATGTAAAATTTACAATGTGAATTATTTTATACTTGTGTAATGGCTTCAGCATCGTGTTGGGATTATTGCGTCTTTTCTTCTTTATCTAAGTAAAATATTAGGATACTCAGTGAAAGGGCATAGACCTTATAGATGACCAAACCTAGCCGCTAATCAAGGTAATTATAAGTATTCTGGTAGCTGAAAGATTAGAACAGTCAAAGGCTCTGATGGCAAACACAGAGACACAAACCGATATCTTGACCTAAATGTCGTGTTTTTATGTATGTAAATGTTTCGTCACAAGCGTTGCTTAAAAGGCTGAATATTTGATGTGCCAAGAGATTATTTGCTTGGAAAAAAGAGCTGCAAAAGGAGCTTCTTTCAGTTAATGCTTCGACAAACTTGTCATTGCAGGCAAAAGAAGTGTTCATAACTATATCATATCATACATGTCATGTATAGCTATACATAAATATATAAACGAAGGTGCTTCTTTGCGATGTAAAACTAATGTAATTAACTATATCATATCATATATGTCATGTATAGCTATACATAAATATATGAACTAAGGTGCTCCTTTGCGACGTAAAACTAATGTAATTAATTGGAGGCAATATCAAGAATATCAAAATGCAGAAAAAAAGAAGATGACAAGCAGATCCAGAGAGACAAACCAACAACAGCTCCAACTAATACACTAAAAGAAAGAAGTCTTTCTGAAATGAAATCCAGAAATTTGACGTTCAGAGCAGGAAGTGAGAGAAACTTTGCTCCGGAGGCAGCAGTGACCGAGCGGGCTGACCTCATATTAGACCTCATTTTGAGCGGCGTGCGCCATAAGACGGATGTTTTAATGCAAGCCTCAGAGTGCGAAACAGTTACAAATAAGGGTCAAGACCCGCCGTTTCACACGGGATTAAAACACCACTCTGAAAACCTGGCAGATCGAAACCAAGACGGCTCCCCCTGCACAGCGTCGCTTTTCTAATGCAAAAGAGGTGAAGTGAACAGGGAGTCCACGCTAAAATCCATAGTGAGTCTGGCTGAAGACACATTACGTGAGTTCAGAGATCAGTGAAGACCGGGAGTGTCTCTCTGTGTCTACTGTAGGTCAGATTGAGTCATTTAACGGTTTCCATTCAGCCATTTGTATTTTAGAGATCAAATGGGCTGTTTTTCTTGTAGCTTCGAGCAAATCTGAGAGGGTTTTCACCACCCATCAATCTAAAAAACACTCGGATACTTAGAGTATTTTAGAATTTCATTAGTGTAATTAGAGCTACTCGCCATCACGAAAAAAGTTTTTGGTTTCCTTGTTTTTTTTTCCTGCTCTTGCTTGATTTAGCAGCTAGCACAAAATGCCTTTAGCTAGCTTTGACGTTCACGAGTGCGAAAGTGATAATGAACTGTTTGTCAGACCGTAAAACCCGAGAATTAACACGTCTGAGATTTCCGGCGGCCTTTCTTTTCCTACTAAGCTCCGTCGTGTGGCAGCGGAATCTCCAAGGAGGAGCAGAACAGGAAGTTTGTACCCCGGGGTGTGAAAACCCGCGCGTTCGGACATGCGAAACCGGCTGGTGCATTTCTGTGGACCGGGACAATGATGACGCGGCGTTTTTTAGGGTGGTGGGATCACCACTAACTGGTCGGCAATTAAACCCGTGGACGAGTAGAAAAATAATCCTCGAGTCAGATTCGGTTTTGCTCTCGTTTTTCTTTGAAGCGCTCCCTCACGGTAAGCTGACCCGGGGGCTGTAGGGGCCAATATTAGTTAAGTATTTATTTACAGATCCTGGCAGAGCCTGTCCTGTGAATAATTCATCCACAGAAGTCTGTTGACAAGACAGCCTGACGCGGGAGAAGGGAAATCGATGCGTCCGTGATGGGCGGCAGACTCCCGCGTTCCTACGCGCGCGCACAGAGGTTACAGTACCGCCCTATGTAAAGCGATCAGGTCCTGATCTGCTGATTGGAGTGAAACAGTGTCCGCCCGGGGACAGACATGCCGCGGGGAGATGTCATATCCACGTTCCTCATGTTCTACACGGCAGACGGTAACTCTAGCGCAAACGTGAACCTTCGGTTACAGAAAGCGAGAGGCCTGGGCCGCGTACAAACCGATTACATGTAAACCATACAGGTGAGCGGGTCAGTGGAGCTAGCAAATCACCGCCCAGCCCTACATCAAATGTAGCGCGCGGATAGATTGGAGAAGCTAGTTTATCCTGCTTCAGATCATCTGATTCAAATCACTGCACCATTAGCAGACTCGTGCCTAATGATTTGGAGGATACGTTCAGTCTAAATCAGGTGTGTCTAAATCCTGCAGGACAGCAGCCCTCAGGGACTCGTTTGCCCTGTTTTCGGTGGTATTTGGGGACAAAATGTTTAACCCTGTAATGCCAAATGTATCATGTTTGATACAAACGGTTTCTGAAGTGTTTCGCATCTGACACCTTTTGTATAATTTAATGTTAAAAACTGTTCAAAATCCTATTGTACACAATCAGATACACCTGATAACAGGGGGCAGAAGACTACACAAAAAATAATCTTGACTTATCGCA